GCAAGAAACAAATCATATCACTTAAGATTATTTACTGAATTTTTCCCGCATTCCGGGAAAGCGTACAAAATACAGCACTGTCAATCCCTCTGACTTGCTTCGGCAGAGTAAATAAAATGAGTATGAAAGTGTGATTTACTACTGCAAAACTGATTAAAGGAAAGGATAATATTCCTTATTGATAAGAATGAAAAAAAGCAACTACAATGGTTTTACAGGAGTAAAAATCAACTACAACTGCCAAAGGTGTCTACGGATACTAGAAAATTAGTGTCCTAAAATGGCGCTTTAAATACCGAGCCTCTGTATGGCTACTGGACTTTAATCTTTATAGGGTTGACTTTTAATGCTTTTTAAGTCCATCTTACTCCTATCTTTTCATCGGAAAATCAATCAGGCTCTTGGGTTGGGAAAACTACGAGCTACAAACACCACATGATTAAATAAAGTCTTGGAGACATGTTTGCTCTTCAAGAAGAATTTTCGTCACTGTATTTTCATCAACAAATAATTGTAATACAGAGTACTCGATAGTGACATTTGCGTGTGATTTAGTTTCAGGAATTAAGAACATGATCATCTTACAGAATCATATTCTATACGCATTTACTGTCATTTTGTTGATGGCATCAAGTACTTCATTTAAGCTTGTCGAATCGTTTTTGTCCATAAGAGAAGGTGTTCTTCTTAAAGGCCACCCTATGCAATGGCAGCGGACTACAAGCTTCTTTTCATGCGCACACCTATGCTTAAGGAAAGAGGGATGCCGATATATTAATTACAAAGCTTCAACCGAGACAGAGGGCGTTTGTGAACTGTTAAAAGACACCAGTAGAGACCATAATAACGGTTACATAGATGGGCCAGGATGGTTTCACGGACAGATTGTTCATTCTAGAGTGAGTGCTCGTACAGGCAGTAATACGCCAGGTGAGACTAACGCAGATTGTTTACTAATAAGCATTGTCCTTCAATCCCTTGTGGAGAAAGGCTTTGGTAATTATAACCTAGTTTCTAGGGCTGACGTTTCGAGTGCTACTCCATCGTAAGAGTGAATAGAGAAATTATGGGTTGTGTGTGGATTATATAGAAAAAGATGATACGCTATTGGTAGGAACATGGTAACGTGAAAAAAAAGAACAAATTAATCGGATGAAAAGCGTTGGTTAGTATCATATGGATTAAGAGTGCCCATTTGGCAGACAAATTTTTGTCTGTAGAGATTTGATGTTCTCTAGATGTTCGTAGAGATTTGCTGCTTTCCGAATTGCCTAGTTGTAGGGAAAGACCGCAAATGAAGGTGTCTAGCCACTGGCTTGGATGCGTCTTTGTCATAACGGCACGAAGGTGTTCTCGGAATCGGTCTCCTAGTCGTCTTCCCGTTTCGTCCATATAAAAGTTTTTGCAATAAGTGTAAGTTATGCAATAGATGACACAGAAGGAGGTTCAGGTGAATTTATCAAGGATCTTTATGGATCGCTTGGGTCCCGATGTTTTCTCAACGTTTTATATGAAAGGAGAAGTTTTGCATCGTGTGCGCGCATTTAAAGGTTCCAGGTTTACCATTTGTTTGGAGTGCAATTCCGAGCAAGAAGTTGCATATGTTTTCATAAGTTTGAATGAAATTACCAGAGGTTACGAAAAGATTGAACGAGTTTCTGGATCATTCCTAAGCAACTTAACGTTTTAGAGAAACGGATTTTACTGCGAAATCGTGAGAGTGGATGGAATTCAATCGCTTTTCCCCTTCTGTGATGTTTGTAGTGCTGATTACTTGGTCAACTCTAGGGAACATGCTACAGTCCAAAATATTTACCCGAAAGTCGTTCTGAAAGCGAGAACTGATCTCTGATGATATGCCATAGGAGCCTCTGGTTCACACGCGTCTGTTTCAAAATTACACCTAAGCATGGAAGTGTTTACCTTTAATTATTCTCAGATTTCAAATTCACCTTCACAACTCTTGGTGCGGTGGGTTCGAATGGGCCAATAGATTCATACGGGTATAAAGGAACAACATTACAAGGGAAAATTAAGATTAAAAACGGCATCCAATTGTGGACTGTACCCCTAAGTGGATCTTACGTCATAGAGGCCTGGGGAGCATCCGGAGCTGAAGGCCGCCAATCTGCTGACGTGTCAGCAACCACAAGAGCGGGAGGAAAAGGCGCCTATGTAAGAGCCACTTTTGTTCTCACACGCGGAAAAGTACTCAAAATTCTCGTTGGACAAACTGGCTGCACAGGGAAAGTTGGTTCACCGTTACCGGGAGGAGGAGGAGGGGGTACGTTTATCACTTCTTCCACCGACGTTCCATTGATTATTGCTGGTGGAGGGGGAGGAGGTGTTGCGCAGCCAGGAAATTTACATGAAGGGGATCCAGGCCAGACAACACGGAATGGGTCACAGGCAGGGGGCTCTAACGGATCTGGCGGAAACCTTTCCCAGCAGGGCTCCCCGTTAGCTTTATTGGAATGCGGAGCGGGAGGCGGCTTGAACGGAAATGGGAAGTCTAGGATGATCTGGGTTGGGGGAAAAGGATTTACAAACGGAGGTAATGGGGGGAACTCCCCCATTGAAGGCCATGGAGGTTTTGGGGGAGGTGGTGCGGCATGGCGGTATCCTGGGGCAGGGGGTGGGTACTCGGGCGGGGGTGTCGTGAAGGATAAGAACGAAACAATCGCTGGCGGGGGAGGGTCTTTTAACACAGGTGCTAACCCGAAGAAGGAAGAAGGATTGGGAGGGGATGGGAAGGTGATAATTCAACTTCTCGAGGCTGATAAAGAATTTGTAAAGTAACATTGCCAAAGCTTGTTCCGAGAGAAAAACATGGAAAGTTTCACCTCAAATATAATTTTAACTTGAGGTTCGTGTAAAGTGTAGTGCTGTAAAATGCAAAAAAGCCAAAATGCTACAAATAACAAATTTAAGAGGAATTTAAGATTATTGTTCCAGAAGCACCGTTGCTTACTAATTGTTCAAACACAAAGAAATCTATCAGGGAGATTAGGAAAAAATATCGCTATAGTGCCCCCTCTCATTGCTGCTTTTGCTCAAGCATCTCGCAGGTACAGTTCTCTCGAAATCCGAGAGACTCGATCCAGCCCGCTTTGCTAGCAGAAGGTGTTCAAGGGGTTTGGCACGAGGAAATAAGCCAGACTGCTCACAGACATCCCACAGCTTTCGCGAGAAGCTTGCCAAATATGAGTGAAACAGTGCCAATGAGAGAAATCCAACTATGACAACTCATATTGTAAGAAACCTGAAGATAAACATTTATAGAGAAAGATGTTTTTCGCCTTGTCTCGAGCGTGGTACGAAGGAAAAATTCTGAGTCTCCAGGGCTCCGATGCTGTAAAACGTAAAGGGTCTTAGGTTCGTTTGCCTCAAAAAAAACATCTTTTTTGTCTATTTCTTAACCGAGCTCAGAACTAACCATCTCTCTTATTCTATTTATGAACATTTATGTTTGGCTAAAGCACACAAAACGATTGAACAAACAGGAAAACATCTGTCGGGTAATAAACTACAAATTAAAAAGTCTTTTTGTAAAATCAGATCAATCATGTAGCCAAAAAGTAATAAACGGTGACAAAAAGCAAATGTTGACTTCTCTCTGTGTACTTTATTTAAAACTTATTTCCTTTTAGTTACTATCGATGTTCTATCTGGAAGCAAAAAACAGAACTGCAATTTCTATCATGTTTGTGTTTCAAGCAATTTTGTTCGTATTTCTGCAATCGGGAAGAAGCGAAATGATTAAGAGATCGGCGTTTTTTAACACAGATGAGAACGTCAAACTTGAGTCAAACGAAATAATCAGCCGCCAAACTAGCCGAAGTGTCCTATCTTGCTCGCAAAAATGTTTATCGGAACCACTCTGCCTTGTATTCAATTACGGCTCTTCTTCAGTGAACCGAGGAATCTGTGAGTTATATAAAACATCCAGCGATGGTTTGAAACTAATCCACGAACCCGGATGGCTTTGTGGGCATCTTCACGGACCCAAGAAAGTATTTAAAGGTGAGTTGGCCTACTGATGACTCGTAAGAGTGACAAGCCTCTAACTTCTCCTTACAATATCACCCCTAAATCACACATTAAGGTCATGAAAATAAAGGAAATGATAACAAGTATAGAAGCTTTGGATTTTTTATCAAATTCTCCTTGCCAGCACCTTGGGAAATGTAAAGAGAACAGTATGGAGAATATACATACTGATGTTAGGGTGCAAAGGGTGAAACAGATCTGGGCCTATTGGCTGAACGGGAAAGTGTCTAGAATGAATAGCAAAATAAACGCGGGCTGACACTGGAAGGCGTGATCTAACCTTTTGGAAAGAGTATTTTACTCGATGTGGCTGCGACAGTCGTTCATGAGAATGCATTCTTTATTCTGGAAAGATCACGTTCTTGTGTTCACATGATAACCAAAACTTTCCTTACATACAAGATCTTATGTTCTAACCACGCAACGATCTTTTTTCAGTGAGGATTACTAGGTGAAGGAATAAAGTCAACAAAATCTTGGTTGTTTTATTATTTTTATATCAGGAAAAAGTTCGGATATAGTCAAATTAAGTAGCTATGCCAAATCAGTCGCTTACAACGAACATGAACCTTTGGGTGCCATGTTTCCTTTCCATTAAGACTTATGATCAGAGAGGAACTCATACCACCATCCTTAGACCTGCGTAATTGCGTAGGATATGTTTCCTCTCCATTTAAACTCTAAAAACACTAAATTTTGCCACCACCAACTCCCGCAGAATGTAAAACTTGGCGAACCAAAGATGGAGGTTGCTGTGTGTTTCCATTCCTTTACCACGGGGAAAATCGGCACTCGTGCGTAGTTGACAAGCTCTTGGGGCTGTGGTGCTCCACCACGGATAACTTTGATGTTGGCAAGACTCGAGGTGTGTGTGAGGGTAAGTTATTGTTATTCAAGATACTTATCTATGTCCTTAGTTAAGGTAGCGTCATTCGCATGGCGTGAGTACAAACAAGAGTCGTAAGCCACTCATTCGTTCTGTCTTGCTGTGTCAAAATGTGCCATTAAGATTAACTACAGGGATTTTGCTAGTTTGCAGAGCTGTTGGTACGGCACTAAGTGAAAAAAAACAAAAGCCTTAATGCATTTGCTGCATAAAAGGTAGATATATCATCAAAAAGAGATGACTGCTAGAATGAAACATTACATCAAGGGTTGTTAAATTCGTCCAACTAGATAATTCTTAGGGATATGCGTCAGTCCAAAAGATTCAGAACAAGCTGTTCGGAAAGTGATAATTAGTCCTCTATGTTATCCTCTGATCCCACATAGTAAGCATGGAACTGTTTACATATTCCCAGATTTCAAATTCACCTTCACAACTCTTGGTGCGGTGGGTTCGAATGGGCCAACAGGTATATCTGGATATAAAGGCACAACATTGCAAGGGAAGATTAGAATTGAAAATGGCATCCAATTATGGACTGTACCCTTAAGTGGATCTTACGTCATAGAAGCCTGGGGAGCATCCGGAGCTGAAGGCCGCCAATCTGATAAGGTGTCAGCGGTCACAAGACCAGGAGGGAAAGGCGCTTATGTAAAAGGAACTTTCAATCTCACCCGTGGAAAAGAACTCAAAATTCTCGTTGGACAAAGAGGCAGCAGGGGGAAAACTGGTTCACCGTTACCGGGAGGAGGAGGAGGGGGAACGTTTATCACTTCTTCAGCAGACGCTCCATTGATTATTGCTGGTGGAGGGGGAGGAGGTGTTGCGCAGCCAGAAAATTTCCATGAAGGGGATTCAGGCCAGACCACACGGAATGGGTCACAGGCAGGAGGCGCTGACGGATATGGGGGAAACCTTTACGAAAAGGGCTCCCCGTCAGCTTCATTTGAATGTGGAGCGGGAGGTGGCTTGAACGGGGATGGGAAGTCTGGCGAGATCGATGAAGGGGGAAAAGGATTTATAAACGGAGGGAAAGGAGGGAACTCCCCCATTGGAGGCTATGGAGGGTTTGGGGGAGGTGGTGCAGCATGGCGTTATCCCGGGGCAGGGGGTGGGTATTCAGGCGGGGGCGTTGTGAAGGATAAAAAAGAAACCATCGCTGGCGGAGGAGGGTCTTTTAATACGGGTGCTAACCCGAAGAAGGGAGAAGGACTGGGAGGGGATGGGAAGGTGATCATCACACTTCTGGAGGCTGAAAAAGAAAAATTTCAAAAGTAATATTGATTCTTCAAGTTAACGAGGTTCTCACAGGAAGGTTAAAGTTTCCAAAGGGTCTTTATATTCTTGATATTAGCAGCAAGTCAAGAATTTAAAGAAAGCGGCAAAACTTTTGAGTCTGTAAAACATGTTTTGACAGAAACTTCTGTCATCTTCAGTTAATTAATGAACAAAGCGTTGGAAGTTAAATTTATAGTAAGTGGACAAATTCTAATTATGATAAACGATGACAACAAGAAAAGAGGTAAAGCATGAAAGTGTGAGGATTTAATGGATAGTTTTAGATTTACATGATGTAGTTGTTGATTCAAGGATGGTTGTTCTCTTTGAATATGAATAGCCTCTTTTGTCTTGAGTTTAAAACCGGTAGGGGCGTGATTCAAAACATGGGAGCTATCCGCTGAACACAAAGCGCGACAATGTGCAGAATCTTGCAGATGCTTTGAAAACGTGAGAGGCCCTGTCACTGACTAAGTGCTCTCTGACACGTGTGGAAAAATGCTGGCACATTTCACCGACGTAACAGGCATTGTCACCATTTATCATAATTAGCATTTGTTTACTTACTATAAATTCAACTTCCAACGCTTTGTACACTAATTAAGTAAAGATGACAGAAGTTTCTGTCGAAACATGTATTACAGACTCAAAACTTTTGTCGCTTTCTTCAAACATCAAAGTTGCTGGTAAACTGTACTGCTGTCAAAGAATAAAAAAAGCTGTAAAAAACGATTAGAGAAGGATTCCTTCCGATGATGAGTATTGTATCACAAGCAACGGAGGGAGATAAAGGAGATGAAAGGGAGATAAAAGTAAACAATTAAAATAGATATGTTCATTTTCGTGAACGAAAGAAGACACACGTTTATTCTGTAAACGCGGAGCACAGGTTAGACTGTATAGTCGATTTCTCCTGTGCAGTATCAGACAGTTTGGCCTCGCTATTCTTTTTTCGTCGAGTCCTCAAGAGGAAAAAGACTGCGCTGCTTGATCAATGTCAGGTTGAGGAAGCCCCACTTCACTTTTTTAAATTTTTTATTGTGAATAATCACTATTTGCGCAGATTCTTAACATCCATTGACAAATGTCCACCTCGGTGAAAACTTTTTCCTAGTTGCTTGATTTTTTTTCCCAAAAAGGTTCATTCAACTGCAGTTCAAGTTTACTGTCAGTTCGTACCCCGTAGCCTGCCGATTTCACGTCCACAAGGATAACAGTCTTTGTGTTAACATTAAATTCAAGATGAGCGAGCGCTTAGCTGTTGTTACAACGAAAAGGACGTGTTTGTATGTTGATAAAGTCATACCAGAGAACACTGAAAAGTAAACATCCCCCGCAGTAAACGGTAAGTTTTTTGTAAACATTTTTCTCCGTGCGTTGCAAAAATATTCGATGGATACTAAGTTGCCAACATTTGGGGCGAAAATATGGTCGTGTATTTGTCCTTGGACATTATATGTTCCGCGTAACTCACAGTTTTCCTCGCTCTCAGAAAACTGTTCGCGTCTCGGAACAGATTATGTCCGCGGACAAATGTCCGAGCATATTTTCGAGCCAAATAGAGGCTATTGTTTAAATGTACAACGGGGATCGAAACTCAAAAAGGCTATAAAATAATATAAAATTTTCGCTGAATGATGATGATTCAGAATGTTTTAATAATGACAATAACACAACATGACAATGTTGCTCTATTAACCACACAGTTGTTGAAAACGTCATCAACAGCTCAATTATTGAGCCGAAAACGAACTTGCGACTATATCACTGGGTAAACTTAACTCGTGCAATGAATGATATTAGCTCCCACACCTGTAGAAAGCATTATGAAATGAATCGCTGTTACTCCCTTGAAATGTCGCGGGGGAAATTCACTCTCTTCTTCTTAAGTTCTTAGTATGAATCTTGCCATCTTATTACAGACAGTCATCTTGTGTTCATCTCCACCAAGAAGCCAGAGCCTCTTATCCTTGCAGATAAAGGAGGGTTTCCACCTCGTCGGTCATGTCATAGATCGACGGAAAGCACCAAGTGTTTTATCATGTGCACAGCTCTGCTTGAAAAGACGTCATATTTGC